TTCCTGGTTAGAAACCACATGCAAAATGTAAGCACGAGGCCAATTGCTGCTATTAGCTATTACCGTCTAATTAGTTGTCTACAATGTATAGCATGGTACCAAGCGAACTACTTGTAATGATCTCTTGGAAAGGAAAACAGAAATACTCTTTTTTTTTCCAAAAACGTGACTTGAATGCAGTAATTTACTGCACAACCTCACTCCAAATGTGAGTCAGGCTGTATTTATTTCTTGTCTTGTGCATCTGAGCTAACTACCTTGAGGCAGCAGTATAAAAATTGGTTGCTGTGACTCTCTTCTTGCAAATTTATTTTGCTCCTTCTTAAAATCTTGGCCTGCTTGACCTCAACAGCCTTCACCAGTTTGAAAATGCAAGTTATAATCCTCTGTAGGGATTTAGCCAGGTGTCTATTACAGCATGTAATCTGTGATACAGCTTCCAATATTCACGCTGCAGAAAGGTTAAGCCCCTCTGTCTTTGTTCCCTAGTAAAAAAGTCCATGAGGTGTTAGTGTGGACAGGAAGCAGATTGAAAGAAGCAGCATCTTCAATCAAGCCCTAAGCCGGTGTGGATGCCACTGAGGAGCTGTCCTGATGAGAGATGGGCGCTTCACTGGAGTGGCAGTGCTCGGACTTTAACCCTCGAGTGGCAGCTGCAGCATGGCTGCCAGCTCCTCTGCTGACGCTCAAAGGTCGCACTGCTGCTAGATCGCTCTTCTCAACCATGATCCTCAGTCTAGGGTCACTGTCCTGTCCATCAGCGACTTGTTCCTGGAGATGCACTTGGTAAGACACGCTCCTGCCCAGCGGGAGCAAGGCCAGCCCCAGCACCCCGTCCCAGGCAGCGACACTTCAGAGCACCTCAGTGCCACTGTAAAAGTTCCATCTGGCTGACACAAACAGACATCTCTGTGTGCTAAAACAAACTAAATCCATCTAATTGAGGAGAAACCCTACTGGGACCAGTCAGTCCTAGTCAGCAGCTTCTCAGGTAACTCTGCTTTTCCCAGCCGGGGCCGAGCGTTACCAAACCATGTGATACAGCCACGTGCCCTTGCTGTGACTGCAAGACAGGTACCTCTTCCTAAAGCCAAAACTTCTAGACTATGTCAATAGTTTTGGTAATATTTTGAATTCCATGAATGGCCTAAAACAAAATAAGTAGCAACTTAATTTGCTTGTCTGCAAGGAGCTATTTAATATCAATCTCCAACTGATATTAAATAATTGATATTAAATAAATTGATATTAAATAATTCCTCCAATACAGGAAAACAGTGGGTTTCTTTTAGATGGTTGTGGTGTTGGGAATGCCTCAGCTACCTTTTACTCTAATTGGCAGTAAAGTGTTTACAAGTATTTATTAGTGTTTAATTATTTAGAAATCTCCTAATGGCTTAAATAGCATTTTAAAAAGTTATAAATATTATCCACCTTGTCCAGCTGAAGAGCTGCTGCTTGGAAGGCTTAAATGAAGATTTATTTACAGCTGCCTGCTGGTCACAAAATTACTTACAGCTGCTAATGCTCCGGCCCTTTAGATGTCCCTAACACAGGTTGGGCTTACTTACCACAAATTGGGGAAAGTTTCTCTGTTGTATTCATTTTACTGAAATAGAGGTCTTAAAGAAGATTATCACTGGCATCAAGATATTAAAATATGTAACTAATCCCAGTTAAATTAATTGTTTTTGTACTAATGTGTACTAAGGGGCATTCATGTAGGCTAAGATCCCTTTACACTGTTTTGGTAATGTAAGTATGACTTAACATGCAAATTACGTTTAAGATGAATTAGAAGCAGTTTAAAGCCAAGTTGCTGGTAGAGAAAATGGGAATCTGACTCCAAGCCTCTGAACCAATAACCACGTTAAATATTTCAAAATTACATCAGTGACTGCCATGTCAGTAGGCAGAGGGCAATTTACCTAAACTCATCATTTCTCTCCCCTTCCCTGTATTAGAATTCAGGACATTTATTTTATCGGCTTATATCAGCTTAGATTTTTTTTCTCCTAATTTCCCCTCTAGAAAACTGAACTCCACACAGGTTATTTTGGTGTCATCAAATCATTCGCCTCTTAAAAGAGAATTGCATACTATAAAATTAAAAGAATAATTCAGTTTATTGGGGAGGATATGCCTGAAGCTTTTTATTAGGAAGGATATGCCTGAAGCTTTTTATTAGGATTCTCATTTGCAGCGATGTCCTTACCCCAGGGTTTCAGTGGCGGGTTGTGCCACTGAAGTTACCGCTGGTCGGAGTTTCAGGTGCAGGACAGCGCTGTGATTCTGACCCATTGCTCACTATACCCTTCCATTAACTGGAATAGCCTCATCTTTCCGAAAAAGCTTTGTGCCCACAGAGATGTACACTTCCATTCAGCAGCAAGCTAGGGCTGATTTCTAGCATTTACTGCACCGTTCTTTTAGGTTACCTCATTGCTACCAGCTCTCATGATCTCACTGCGTTCATGCTAGCTTGTGTTTTGTTGGAGTCCCATCTCCCAGCGTTCTCTGATTGAATTGGCACCTCAGCTTTTGCTACAAAGGAAAAAGTGAAAGAAAAAGGAAGCAAAACAAATCAACTCTTACATACAGAAAGAAACAATACATCCCACACAATCTGGGTTACCCGCTGGAAGCCATAAAACATGCCTGCTCCAGCATCCAGGGGCGAGCGGATCAGAGCAGCTTTAGTTTTTTACATGAAGAATCGCAACAGACTCAGCAGCTGTTTGTGGAGCAGGAAACCAAAGCCATCCCTCAGCAGTGCTTAATGCACCTGTCTGGCTACCCAGGGCATTTATTTGCTGGGTTTCGATACCCATGACCTCCCAGTGAAGCTGCTGTTACCAAAGCGATGACAGAAGCATATACATTGTAGGTATGCAGGCAGCTTCACGGTGACAGGTATAGAAGTGACCAGATTTTTCTAGTAAACCTCAGAAAGGTGTGATTTACACAATTCTAGCATCTTCTGCAAAATTGATATTTATGTATAGTCAAAGAGTCTGGAACCTTACAGATTTCACAATATGTCTGTTTTCCCTAAGGAAAATAAAGGGCCTAAGTAAGTTAGCAAATACTGGTGTTTGTATCTGATATATTAAATGGAGCTTAAATAATAAAAAATTCGGTGTTTTCTCTATTCTGCTTGAAACTTATTTTTTATTTTCACTGTTTTATTCAAAAGGAAGACATAGAAATAGCAACTGTGAGCTTGAAATCAGAGCTGTAACAGGGACTTATTATAGACACGTTTTGCAGAGAATTTCCAGCTACAGCTGCATGCTTTGAAGCTGTCAGTGTAACATGCAATGTGCTGCTTTTCAAATAACCCTTTCTGTTGTCTTGTAGTTTTTTCCCTAACTTTGAGTCCCAGTGAATCGTTGTCAGTTTTAGCATTCAGCTGTGTTAATGGGAAAGAGCGAGAGAAAGAAAATAGTATTTCCCTGCTCAGGTAAAAGGAAGTTGCCGGTGGGGAGGTCAAAGAGAGTGCAGAAGTCCTTTTGCTCATGTTTCGTGGGAGTATGTTAAGGAGCAGAGCAGTGGCCAAGGTGGAAACTCATGTTTGAAACCCATCTCTCACACTGGATGGCATTGAATTACTTTGTTGCCCTGAGGCTTTGAAATGGAGAGAAGCGTAAGTGTAATTATAAGAAAAGAAAATGTTGATAATCATACCAGGGCTTGTTCTGTTTTCAGGGTAGGTGAGGGGAACTCTGATTAATGACAACAGCAGCTATGCCTAGCCTCTATTGAGCACTGCGAGGTGTAGGCATGTGCATCTTTTTCCCCAGCAGTGCTGCCCATCAGTGAAAGAGGCATGGCTGCTTCCACAACCTGTTTGCGAGGCGGAGGGAAGGATACAGAGCAGCAGTTGCTCTCTGGAACAAACGCAGAATGAACAAGTAGCAAAATATTAATGTACTGTTGAAAACCGAAATTAGGTAGACGTGATTCAGTGCAGCCTACAGGGTCTGATATCTTGGCAACTGCTGCAAGATATCCCCAATCTGCAGCCAAAATAGCCTTTGTCAAGAAGCAGAAGATTGTAGTGTGCAAGTTAATGCATCAAAAGGCCAGGAAGAGAATAATTCACTTTCACCTTGCTACAGAGGACAAGCAGCAGTAAAAACGGTGCACTATTGGCAAGGGTTTTTTTGTTGCTGTTTTTAACTCAACCCCCAGTTCAGAGCTCCAGCCACCTTGGCAGTGTTCCAGCTGGAGCTGCTGACATCTCCCACCTAATCAAGTGCTGGATTATCTTGTCCTGATAAATTGGAGCCGGTGCCTTGTGAAAAGTCTTTCCTGAAGTACTTTGCTACCCTGTAATAAGATGGCAGATGTCTGCATCAAGCCCCAGTGCTGGCAGAGCACTGTTTTTCTAGTGGCTTTTGGTGGTAAGTGTAAGTGTTTTAAGGCAAGCCAGTGCTAAGCTGGGAGCACAGTTAAGCATGATAAATTTCACACGCAGGCAAAAGGAAACTTGAAGGTGTACTGGGTACTGGTTCATACCAAGTATATACAGGCTGCACTGCTGACCTCAAAATGCCCTAAAAATTACTTCTTTTGTGAGCAGAGCTTTTGAGGAACATGTTTTAAAAAGAAATTCTCTTCAACTGCCGCATCTTTTTAGGAAGAGTTGGAGTTACTGAGCTATTAGAGCCTTGCTTACTGTTTTCAGTCTTTTGTGACTCAATCGCTGGTCCAAGTCATTCAGGATAAATAAACTCTTTTCTTTCTCTAAAACATACCAAGAAAATGTTTCTGTTACAAAAGCAAGGGAGCTCTTTATGTGTGTGTACTTTAACAGGTAAAACAGCCAGGATGAATCTCGTTAAGATAAAGGTATTCCTTGCAAGCATTTGTTTTTTCTTTCTTGGTTTCACTCCTGGAGAAAGAGCAGCAGTTCTCATGTGGCAGACAGGAAACCTCTTTCTGTGTCACAGTCACCTATACCATGCCTCTCGTAACACTGCTTTGCTCTTTTCCAGGGGAATCCCTACATGTGCAATAATGAATGCGATGCGAGTACCCAAGAACTGGCTCATCCTCCGGAACTGATGTTTGATCTCGAAGGAAGACATCCTTCCACATTTTGGCAGTCCACGACTTGGAAGGATTATCCAAAGCCTCTTCATGTTAATATTACGCTCTCCTGGAACAAAACCATTGAGCTTACAGATAACATAGTTATCACTTTTGAATCTGGCCGTCCAGACCAAATGATCCTGGAGAAATCGCTTGACTATGGACGAACATGGCAGCCCTACCAATACTATGCTACAGACTGCTTAGATGCTTTCCACATGGATCCAAAATCAGTGAGGGATTTATCACAGCACACAGTCCTAGAAATCATTTGCACAGAGGAATACTCTACTGGGTACATGACAAATAGTAAAATAATCCACTTTGAAATCAAAGATAGATTTGCTTTTTTTGCTGGACCTCGGCTTCATAACATGGCTTCTCTTTATGGCCAGCTTGACACGACCAAGAAGTTAAGAGATTTCTTTACCATCACGGATCTGAGGATAAGACTGCTTAGGCCAGCAACTGGAGAAATATATGTAGATGAGCAACACCTGGCACGCTACTTTTATGCTATTTCAGACATAAGGGTATACGGAAGGTAAGAGAATACATACCTTTAGAAACAGGCATGTTTGTTTGGTTTTAGAGGTTATTCAAAACTGTTTATGTCCCCAAACGTGATGAAATTTTCTGCCAAGTTGCATTCATTGGAAATCTGGCGCAGCTGATGTCTGTTTCTGGTCATACGAGAAGTTTCTGACTCAGCAGCACGAAGTCCTGGGTGTTCGCTGTCCCTAGCCTGGGATCTTAAGCCCTAGGTCTCACGAGCTGGATAATATTAACAGTTTCTTATGTTGGCTAAGAAACTTGCCCTAGCATAAGGACATTTTCTGCTTTTTATGGTTGGAGCATCATCTGATGGCAGTTAACTAAAAAGAGAGATTCTGTTTTATCATTTGACTTTTTCAGGCCTTTCATGTAAGCTGTGATTGATACAGCAGCCCTTGCGCAGACCCTTCGTACTAGGTCCGGCTGTGAACTGCCTGTGAACAAGGAAGGCAGCAGAGATTAGAGTCCATTCCTTGTGCTTTAATTAGCTCTGAAATGCAGTGAAGCTGAAGTAAAATAAAAAAAAAACAAAAACGAAACCAGTGTTTTGGAGAGACTGATTTGAATATAACAAAGATGATTACTCAGCTGGGTTCAAGACAAATAGTCCCTCTGGGACAACCAGTGACTGGTATCAGGTGCCGTAGTCCCGAAAATAATAACAGTGCAATAACATTCCTATCGGGAAATCTTCTTCCCAACTCAAACTAGCAATTGACTGATGACCTCTAGCAGGAGGGTGATACCCCTTACGTGTGTCTTGGGTACCAATTTGTTCAGAAGAAATAAATGGGACTTTCTCTATTAGCAATTCACTCACCTCTCTAATGTACCTTTTCCTTCTCTGTTTCTCCTATAGAGTTCAAATCTTCCTTTTTAAAAAACTTTTTTTTTTTTTTTTAAGAGAAGGTAAGTATCAAAGTGAACAGAAAAGCTGATATATCTTAGGAGGCCAGGGCATTTTTTGCAGACACAAGAGTGAGTGAAAAAAATGTAGAGACAATGATCATATAAAACACTGGTGACTATATTTTTATTACTCTTGTAGTGAGTTTGCCATTTTCTATCTCTTTTATACAAGCCTTTCATGTTCATAAGCATTTCCATATTGCAAAAATTGATATATAAAATCAAAATAGAATCAAATGACTGTGAGGTAATCTATTGAAAAATATTCCTTTAACTTTATGTAAAGGAAGAATTGATGCCACATACAGATTTGAATGCCTCAGTGCTTTTGCAGTACCAATATCTTTTTATATGACATCAAAATACATTTCTGAGGACCACAGATTTAGCATGTAGTTACAGTCTTCTGTGGCCACACCAAATACATACGCATACATACAGAATCACTAATTGAACATGTGAAAGTGTAAGATAAATGTTACTATTTTCAGAATTCTTATTGTAACTCTCATTACTTACATTGTAAATTATTTTTCAGAAGTCTCTTGAGAGGGCTAAGTGGATCATGGACAGCTTAAGATACTGTTTGAAATAATGTAGTAACATTAGCCTCAGTATATAAAAAAATAAGACATATGTTCTATTTAATGTGTATCCTTTCTCCCTCGGGCCCCACGTAGGTTAGCTCTACAGAGGAATCATATCAAAGCTCAGGATCTGAAGGTCCGTACTCTTTAAGGAAAAGCTGCTCCCCATCTGAAAACCCATTTGGAGCTTAGTCTGACTTCAATTAGACTATCAGTACTTTATCAAAGAAAGCATCTGAAGGATTAAAAAAAGAGTGCATTGCATGCAAATTAGAAACAGAAACCTTCCAAGCACATCTGGGGAAAGGCATTCTTGTGAAAAATTATCTATAAAAATGAAGCGTGACTGTACAGAGAACTTATCTGATGCTGATGCTTGTTGTCTAAATGCTGCAGTAATTGGACACACGCTTTAAAAGAACTATCTGATGTGTAATAGTATCTCACTAGATTAGATTCATGTGAATTCTTATCACTCTTCTGCTAATGAGAAGAACAGCTCTTTAGGGATTTGGTGGCCTTTCCTTCAGTATGCAGCGAGCCCTCCTTGTTAAAGACTTGATGGGCTTGCTTACTGCTAAGTAGCTGTGGGGCTGCAGCACACAGCCCCTGATCATTTAGTCACAGCAAAGGTAATTTGCAATAGGCCCATTTCACCTGGATTTAGATATTTTTGGTCTCCTACCAGAACCCTTATAGAGCCCCCCAAAGAGTCTTCAAGTCAGCGATAAGGTCGTGTGCCCTGAGCACGGGAACGTGAGGGAGGGGAGCAAGGGCTGCCGGGGGGCCTGCTGCTGCTTCCGGTTCAGCTGAGCTGTCCAGCCCTTGCAGTTCCTTTAGGTTGTTAACTGGAAACTAAGCTGCTTTTTTATATTTATTTACTTATTGTTGCTACAATGTTTCATATTCTGGGCTTCGAGACCTAAATATTTATATACATATAGTAAAGCTAGACTAGACTGTTCCATGAGGAGGGGCTACAAAGGGACCTTACCGAGGAGTTTCACATGGGGTGAATGGGTGATGGTGGCAGACATATTTTAAAGCTAGTCCTTTTACTGCACAAAGTGCAGTAAGGTGAAATATAGTTAAAATCACCAAAGCTAATAATAGGATATTTCTAAAGGCAGCATAAAATGTAATTTGTTTCACATTGTATTTTAAGGATCAATGACAGGGAAAAGCATCTATCTTAAAGATGCCATATTTAATATACAAGATGCTGGAGTGGTTGATACTTCACAACGAATTATAGATAGGAGATTTGCTCGCTTAATATAGGGTTTGTTTTGTCATCGCTTTGCATTTTGGTGTGAAATAAGCCTGATGTATGTTGCATTAGAGATGAAAACCTGTGTACTCTCGATGAATGCCTTACCTCCTCTATTACCACCTGTTTATTCATCTTCAACTTACCACTTCCATTGTGTATTTATTAAGATAGTGATAAAAAAAGAAATGTGGCTGTTAGCAATTTCAGCAACCCCATTGTGCTCACATTATTCAAGAAACCTAATAATCCACATGAACTAATTCTGACTTACTGATGGTCTGCTTCACTAAATCAGAGTGGTTTTTTTTCTAGTGAGTAATGGACGATGCAGTGTGCCAGTACCTTAATTAAAGAGAGCCTCTCTTAGTCTTGATCTCATTTTAATTTACAGGGTAATACTACAATAATATCACTAATGGAAGGTACATTAAAGGGCATCAAGTAGCATTAACTGTATTAAATTATGGCACTTGTGTTAATTAACTGCTGAAGCAAGATGGTCCTAACGGCTAGAAAGGTCGACTAATGCATAAATAAAGTCTTCTGGGATGGGAAACTAAGAAAGAGCAGACATTTTTCCCCTCGTCTGGCCTTGCTGCAGGGAATCAGAGGGTGTCCTGTGTGGTAACCTCGAGAAGGTTTCTCTCACGTCGCTGCCTGCAGAGGTGTCCTGGACTGTCTGCGAGCTCTGCCTGTCTTCGATTCCACGTGAAGGACAGTCCTGGCAGTAAGCTGTGAGGCACAGCTCCCTTTTTGACATTTTTTGGTAGAAGTTCACTAAAATGCTGATAATAATTCCTTTGAAGTCAAGCAAAAGGTTCCTAGCAGATTTTGGATCAGGATGCTAAAGGTTTAACCACGTTTATTCCAAAGTGTTTTTGCTTTAACTGTTATAGTGTCAGTGATGTGTACATTCATACACTGTAAATTAACTGTAATTAGGGGTGCTAGCGAAAAACCATTGCCCCAGTGGGTGACAGAATGACTAGCTGGCTGAAACAAAGGATCTTACTGCTTTTGGGTGATTAGGTTTTGATCTAAGAGCCACCAGTTTCCTTCTGACACCAGAATATTCAGTCTCTGAACAATGTTATTAAGCCCTTTGGAATTTATTTTTATACTCTTCTCGCCTCGAAGCTTCTGTATTTAAGCCCCAGGGTTTTCTGACCCTGTCTCAGCCACTGTTGCAGTTCCAACAGCAATAGAAACCTCTAATTCGCAGTATGCAAGTGAAAAGTATCCTCACAGTTTTAACAGTTTCTTGCTCTCACATATCTCTTCTAAATTTAAATCCATCTCACACTCTGAATAAATTACTCTGAAGGAAAGCATATTTGCTACTTAGGGGGTTGAGACTTCTTTGTCTTTTTAGGGAGCCTGCCCCTCCTACAGCTGGGACGCTGAACCACTCAGTATTGTTGTTGTGGACCTTGGGTAGGGAGGTGCCCATCCTCTTCCAAAGAGCTGGTCTGTCCCTCTGAGCCTGGAGCTTGCCCTGCAGCCTTCGCGGATGGTCACGCCGTCGAGGCGGAGTTCCACCAGCTTTCATCCTCTGCCTTGTTCTACAGATCCATCTGGTGGATGGATTAATTGAATTAAATCTGTACGTTACTCTGGCATACACTTGACAAGGCTGTAATAATACCCCTCTGTAATTTACCCAAAAGCAGACCTTTGCCCTAGGGAAGTGGTAATATATATAGAAGTGCTTTAGTTTTATTTATAATAGAAAATGTTTTCATTACTGTTCAGCTCAGAACCAGACCATCACTATGAAGATATGTAGGCTTCAAGCTTTTGAGGAGACAACTGAATACCATCATTGTTTCTAGTATTTATTTACCATACTTGAATACTCTTTGCTTCACAAGAACACTTGCATAAGCATCTTGTTCTCCTTTGAGATTCTCACTAGTATTTGGAGGGAATCTAGCAGTTTCTCCAATTAAATTAAGAACTCATTAGAGAACAGGAAAAAAAAAGAAATGTATGTATTTAAGAGCATATCAATTTATCTTCAACTCCCAAGTGCAATTAGTTTTTTTAATATATCTACTGTAATATGTCACTAAGGAAAATAGTCCTTCATTTTCTGTAAACAAATCTAGGATCATCAGGAATTAAAATAATTAAATGGTCACTGTGTTTATTCACACATGAGCAGTCTCCAATGGTTTACTCAGTACAGGTGTCCTGGGTGGGTTTTACTCCTGCCCATGT